ACCCGTCAGCCACCTTCATGCAAAACTAGTTGCATGTCTGTCGGTGGAACCAGTCTCATGAACGTGGTCATGTAAGGTTGGTCCGGGCCGCTTCATCCAACAATACCGCTGAATCAAAATAAGACATTGGTGGTAAGCAGTAGGACGATCACCACCCACAACTTTTGTGTTCTACTCGTGCATATCATCTACACATAGACCTGGCTCGGATGCCACTGTTGGGAAATGAATCATGCAATTTCAAAAAAATTCCTACGCTCACGCAAGATCTATCTAGGAGATGCATAGCAACGAGGGGGAGAGTGTGTATAGGTACCGTCGTAGACCAAAAGTGTAAGCGTTTGACAACGCGGTTGATGTAGTCGAACTTCTTCTAGCTCCGACCGATCAAGTACCGAACGTACGGCACCTCCGAGTTCTGCACACGTTTAGCTCGATGACGTCCCTCGTCCTCTTGATCCAGCAAGATGTCAAGGAAGTGGATGAGTTCCATCAGCACCACGGCGTGGTGACGGTGATGGTGAAGTGATCCGCGCATGGCTTCGCGTAAGCACCGCGAGAATATGATCGGGAGTGTAAATTGTGGAGGGGGGCGCCACACATGGATAACAATTGATGTTTTGTGTTCTAGGCGCCCCCTCCCCACATATATATAGGTGGGAGGGGGAGCGGAGAGGCCAGGAGGCACCCAAGGGCTGGCCGCCGGCCCCCTTGGAGCTTCCTTGCCATGCGCCTCCCGCTGCCATATTTGACGGAAGGGGAAGGAAAGAAGGGGGGGAAGGAAGTGGGAATCCTAATCCACACTTGACTTTCTCCCTTCCCCTTTCCATCTCCATCCCTGGCCGGCCCATATGTGGGGTGCACCAGCCCCTTGTGGCTGGTGTGTTCCCCTCTTGGCCCATAAGGCCCGTATCTTTTGCCGGGGGTGCCCGAAACCCCTTCCGGTGACTCAATAAGTACCCGGTACCCTCGAAACACTTCCGGTGTCCGAATACTATTTTCATATATATCAATCTTTACCTCTCGACCATTTCAAGACTCCTCGTCATGCCCGTGATCTCATCCGGGACTCCGAACAACATTCGGTCACCAAATCACATAACTCATATAACACAATATTGTCATTGAACGTTAAGCGTGCGGACCCTACGGATTTGAGAACTATGTAGACATGACCGAGACACCTCTCCGGTCAATAACCAATAGCGGAACCTGGATGCTCATATTGGCTCCTACATATTCTACTGAGATCTTTATCGGTCCAACTGTTATGGCAACATACTTTATTTTCTTTGTCCATCGGTATGTTACTTGCCCGAGATTCGATCATCGGCATCTTAATACCTAGTTCAATATCGTTACTGACAAGTCTCTTTACTCGTTCCGTAATACATCACTGTGTGACTAACTCCTTAGTCTTTTGCTTGCAAGCTTATGATGTGTATTACCGAGAGGGCCCGGAGATACCTCTCTGATACTCGGAGTGACAAATCCTAGTCTAGATCTATGCCAACTCAACAAACACCTTTGGAGATACCTGTAGAGCATATTTATATCACCCAATTATGTTGTGAAGTTTGATAGCACACAAGGCATTCATCTAGTATACGGGAGTTGCATAATCTCATAGTTGAAGGAATATGTATTTGACATGAAGAAAGCAATAGCAATAAAACTGAACGATCAATATGCTAAGCTAATGGATGGGTCTTGTCCATCACATCATTCTCCTACTGACAACTCATGTCCATGGTTAGGAAACCTTAACCATCTTTGATCCACGAGCTAGTCTAGTAGAGGCTCACTAGGGACATGTTGTTTGTTTATGTATTCACACATGTATTTAGGTTTCCGATCAATACAATTCTAGTAAACCTTTATCATGAATAAGGAAATATAAAATAACAACTTTATTATTGCATCTAGGGCATATTTCCTTCACATCCTACCCAAAAAATTTAGCTCAATCCCTTCAACCATTTGAGCACAGGTTCAACTTTCATATTTCTGTCCAGTGTGGTACTTTGTAAAGCAAGTGCTATCTATATAGGCTCTTCCATTTGAGCCGCAAATTTACCACAGTGATCCCCTTAGTGGATGATAATCCTCGGCCATAGATCAGGCCCATTAGACTTGTGGATTGCCCACACCTCTAATCAAATGCTTTGCTGCTAATTCATGTTTTGTGCCTTGTTCAGTCTTATCTTGAGCCACTGTTGTTGTCTCCTTCCTAGCAGCTACTAGGGGAATGCCCAACCAGCCGGACATGCTTGGGCCACCCAAAATGTGTGGCGACGCCATGGTTAGGCTGTGACCACGCGGCTGACATGCCACGCGACGCGCTCTGAAGTTGGGGGCCTCGACCTCCATCCCCTCGTCGAGCTCGTGCCATCGGAGCATGTCTAGCAGCTTCGTAGTGGCCACGCGCTCGCTCCCTCCCCCTCATCTTTCTTTCTCCTCACTCCACAGCGGCCCTGCCCGCGCTCTATCGCTGCCCCCACCACCATGGGTGATCAGCCACGCCGTCCTCGAGCCTTTGAAAAAGAGTTTTTTATCATTTATGCCCCTGGTTATGTCTCACTACTCAAATTTGCCACTAAGAATTTCAACTGCTCAAAAATGCCATCACTTTGTTAGGCGCGTGCTAAAAAATGCCACTAGACACCATTACTGCTCAAAAATGCCATCACTTTGTTAGGCGCGTGCTAAAAAATGCCACTAGGCATCATTACTGTCAGTTCAAATTCGTTTGCCATGTTATAATGACCAAAATACCAATAGACAAACATGTCAGCTCTCCCTCTACCTCACTATAATAAAGTGTGGGTCCCATTTGATTCCAATATCGTTCTTATTTTCCTCTAAAATTATTCGCTTACTTACTCCTGACAAGTGGGGTCCACACTTATCTGACATGTGGGTATAGGGGAATTTTTGTCATATAACATGGTCAACGAGTTTGACCTGACAATAACGATGTCTAATGGCATTCTTTAGCAAACATCTAATGATAAGATGGCATTTTTAGATATCTAATGACATTTTTGAGCAAGCATCTCACAGAACGATGGCATTTTTAGCAGCAGTGATTTCTAAAGGCAAAACTGAGTAGTGAGACACAACTAGTGACATAAGTGATAAAAAAAGATAGTAAAATTAAAATGTACATCGATTTTGAAAAAAAAGCACAATCGTCAAAAAAGTTCTGGGATTTGAAAAAAATCAAAGAATTCAAAAAATTCACAAATTTGTAAAAAGTTCATCAATTTGGAAAAAGTTCATCAAATTGGAAAGAAAGTTCATCAAATTTGAAAAAGTTCAACAATTTTGGAAAAAATAACAAAATTGAACAATGTTCATCATATTTGAGAAAAAGTTCATTGAACTGGAATAAGTTCATCGAAGTTGATTTTTTTACCAAATTTTTAAAAAGTTCACTGATTTTGAAAACAATTCATCAATTTTGAAAAAAATAATCATCAAGTTTAAAAAAATCATGCAATTTGAGAAAATAAGAAAAAGAAAGAAAGAAGAAAAGGTTTAAAACCTAGGTGGAAACAAGAAAAAAATGAATAGGAAAATAAATGGGTCGGCCTTTACGGATAACCCTTTAAGTGGCGCTTAAGGCGCCGTTCAGGGAATGCCATCATCGGGTCGGCTATATGTCGCAGCTGAAAGCGAAATCACTAATTAAGGAGTAATCGTTGCAAAAAACACTCCACCTTCCCAGGTCGCAATAAGTGGCGCACATGCAGCGCGCCACTTATCGCAACGTGGGAGTTTTCCCTTTTTTTCATAGATCCGTTTATTCAAAACGTTTTATCTCTTAAACCGTGCGTTCAAATCTCGAACCATTTTCTCCATTGGATTTCTCGCGTCGAGATCTTCAAAACTAGATCCCATGTTGATAGGTTTTGACGAACTTTTTTTTCACGAAAAAACGGACAAAAAAACGAACCGGGAGCACAGTTTTTTCCCTTTCCGAAAGAGGCACGCCCGTGCCTCTTGCGAAATCACAACCGTGCCTCTCGTGGAAGCAAAACCGTGACTCTCGTGGAAGAAAAAAAACAGAAAACACGTTTTTTCCGTTTCCGCGAGGCGCGGTCGTGACTCTCGCGAGAGCACAACCGTGCCTCTCGCGAAAGCAAAACCGTGACTCTCGCGAAACAAAAAAGAAGAAACGCATATTTTTTTTCCCTTTCCGAGAGGCACGGTCGTGACTCTCGCGAAAGCACAACCGTGCCTCTCGCAGAAGCAAAAGCGTGACTCTCGCGAAAGAAAAAAAAACAAAAAACGCGTTTTGTTTTTCCCTTTCCGAGAGGCACGGTTGTGACTTTCGCGAAAGCACAACCGTGTCTCTCGCGGAAGCAAAACCGTGACTCTCACGAAAGAAAAAAAAAATAGAAAACGCGTTTTTTTCGTTTCCGAAAGGCATGGCCGCGACTCTCGCTAAAACACAACCGTGCCTCTCATGGAAGAAAAACCGTGATTTTTGCGAAAGAAAAAAAAGAAAATCTATTTTTTCGCGCAAATTTTTTTTTAATCGAAAAGCTAAGGAAGACCAGGAGAAAACCAAAACGTCGAAAAAAACCAAAAAATCATTTAAAAAACCGAAAACGCATGCGGAAAAATAAAAAAATTCGAAGGAAGCGTTCAGAGCATGACACATGGCGAATGACTGAGAGTGCGCCACTTGGCACGCTGATGAGGCTCCGGAAGGAGTGCTCGTTAACTAGTTGCTCCGAGCTGAAAGCACATTCATCCCCCCAACGCTTAAAAAGTCACACGGACGCACGATAGGTGGGCTTTGAGCTACGCGGGCCGGCCCAGGGTCAACACATCATCACGGCGGGAGAGGATGACGGCGGTGCGAGCGCACGGCAGATTCACAGGGCCTCCTCCCACCCCCGTTCGGTTCCCCCCACGAGATCCGACTGCCCACTACTCCGAGCCCCGCCGGCCGGAACCTCGCCGGCGTCCAGAGAAGCGAAGGGGGAGAGATGGGGTGGGGCACGGTGGTCTACGAGGGCACGGTGGTGGGGGCGTCGCTGGTGGGGCTGGGGTGGGCGGGGCTGTGGTTCCTCAACCGGCGGCTGTACAAGGAGTACGAGGAGCGGCGGGCGCTGGTGCAGATCCTCTTCGGCCTCGTCTTCGCCTTCTCCTGCAACCTCTTCCAGCTCGTCCTCTTCGAGATCCTCCCCGTCCTCTCCAAGCACGCGCGCTTCCTCAACTGGCACCTCGACCTCTTCTGCCTCATCCTCCTCCTCGTCTTCCTCCTCCCCTACTACCACTGCTACCTGCTGCTCCGCAACTCAGGTCAGCGCCCTCCCAATTTGTTCGAGCCTTGTGTTTCCCTCCCTGCGGCTGTTCTGATCGGCTGATCGGTTGGTTGGTGGTTGCAGGGGTGAGAAGGCAGCGGGCCTGCCTCGCCGCGGCCCTCTTCCTCACCATCTTCCTCTACGGGTTCTGGCGCATGGGGATTCACTTCCCCATGCCTTCCCCAGAGAAAGGTTTGAGTTTACAATCATTCCATTACATGGTTGTCAGTCTAGTAGTCACTAATAGCTGTTACTAGGACTTACCCTGTCGACTCTGCTGCACTATAATTTTCAGAATAATTACACGCCTGTTCGATGCATTCACTTCATGTCTACTGTGTCACTGGGTTTCACCTGTTGCTCACTCTGTAGGTTTCTTTACGATGCCGCAGTTGGTTAGTAGGATTGGCGTGATTGGAGTGACTGTCATGGCTGTTCTTTCTGGTTTTGGTGCGGTCAATCTGCCATACAGCTACCTGTCTCTCTTTATCAGGTTTATTACTTCAACATGATTCCATTCGGTTGGTTCACGCCACATTACAAACATCATGTTGACCTATCATGCCCTGACCTTCAGGGAAATTGACGAAATGGACATCAAAGCTTTGGAACGGCAGCTGATGCAATCCATGGAGTCATCTATTGCTAAGAAAAAGAAAATTATTCTGTCCAAAATGGAGATGGAGAGGATCCAAGGATCAGAGGAGGTGTGCTAACTAGTCTCTTGTTTTAAAAATGAATAATCTCTTGATCATGGTTATTGGATTGCAATACTCATGAGAAGTTTGTGGGCACAGAGAGAATCATAAGATATAAAAATGGTTGGTTATATTTGCCGTGTATAGTTGCCATTTTTTGTTCCTTTTGCTCTAGTATCATTATAGTCCATTAATAAGGAATGATAAATATCAGAGCGTAGTCCACAGTAAGGTTGCAGCTTACTATTAGCACACACTTTTTATTTTGATGTTGACCTATATGACATGACCTAATAGACAGACATTAACACTTGCAGAAGCTTAAAGCCAGATCATTTCTGAAGCGTATAGTTGGAACAGTTGTTCGATCTGTGCAAGAAGATCAAACTGAGCAGGGTATGCTGTATATTGTTTGTTTCTATACTTGTGGACTCTGCAGTTTGCTCCATTAGTGATAGTTACTAATACCTTTTTACGTCTTGCAGATATCAAAAACCTGGAAGCAGAGGTCCAGGGGTTGGAAGAGCTTTCCAAACAGCTATTCCTTGAGATATATGAACTACGTCAAGCCAAGGTATTTTTGTTGCTCATTTGACCAGTTTGTTATGATGAATAAGATCAACAACCAATTTAGTGGGGCGTATCCTGTTGATTTACGAAATCTTGTGGTGTTCAATCCTACAATTACCCGGGAGTTATGATTATTACTTGTTTGTTGTGTTGGCTATTCATCAATGATATAGTGACACATGTGTGAGAACTGGTACTCTTCTCACATTACTAAGATACCAGAACAGCATCATAAATGTTATAAAATGTGTTGTAGTATATAACTAACTCAAGTCCATTGATTTTTTTTGGCTTGTAGATGAGTTTTCTTTGTGTTTTCTCTTCTAAATTTGTGTCTTCCTTATGCTGTGTATATTGGCCTCTGATAAATTGCTTGCACCTTACTTTTGTTTTGAAAGTATCAGCACACATTTATTCGAATTGATTATTTTAGTTCATCTAGACATTTGTTGATCTTTGGCAGCAGTGGATATTATTATTAGAATAAAGATCTTAATTTTTGCACACAATTCTTCAATTACTTTCCAGATAGCTGCTGCTTATTCCCGAACCTGGAGAGGACATTTTCAGAATCTGCTAGGATATGCCTTGTCAGTATATTGTGTTTATAAGATGCTCAAGGTACTACTACAAAATGCATTATGTTGTTGAGAAAATTCCTTATTTGACACTGTCTTAAAATCTGGTTCCTTATTTGACACTGGAAAAGTTATTCTTCCCTATTTGACACTAGTCCTAAATTTTATTCCCTATACGACACTTCTGTCCATTTTGAGCCTAAATGACACCTTTAAAGACGATTTTTCCCCTCATGCGGTATGTGTGTGCGCGCGCGTGTGTGCTGTTGCGTGTGTGGGTGCACGCGCACATGTGTGCTGCCGCTGCATGTGTGTGTGCATGTGTGCTGCAGTGTGTGTTTGCTACTGCGTGTGTACGTGCGCGCGCGTGTGTGTGCTGTTGCGTGCCTATGTGCTGCCTGTGTGTGTGCTGCTGCTGCGTGTGTGTGTGTATGTGTGTGTGTGCTGCGTGCGTGTGTGTTGCTGCGTGTGTGTGCGCGTGCATGTGTGTTGCTGCGTGTGTGTGTGTGCACGTGCGCGTGCATGTTGTTGCGTGTGTGTGTGTGTGCACGTGCGCGTGCGTGTTGTTGCGTGTGTGTGCGCGTGCGTGTGTGTTGGTACAGTGTATGTGTTGCTGCGTGTGTTCTCTTGCCCTCGCACTGATGCTGCGTGCGTGCGCTATTGCCCCTCACACACATACCACATGAGGGGCAAAAGAGTCTTTTCATGTGTCATTTAGGCTCAAAATGGACGGAAATGTCATATAGGGAATAAAATTTAGAACTTGTGTCAAATAGGGAAGAAAAACTTTTCCAGTGTCAAATAAGGAAACAGATTTTAAGATAGTGTCAAATAAGGAATTTTCTCTATGTTGTTTTGCTTTATGTGTCTCCCTGGTTCATGTATAAAAATGAAATTTTGCAGTGCTAGAGTAACAAAAGTATCATGTAAGAAAATCCGTTTCACAAAATGAATAAAGATTTCTCCATTTCACAGAATGAATAAAGATTTCTCCATTTCACAAAATGAATAAAGATTTCTCCCTGGTTCAAACTGATGTAGCATTATTTTGTGAGGATGTTTTTTTTTCTCACATGCACTTGTAAACGTTCTTACTTTTTTTTGTGATTCTTTTGCAGGCCTTGCAGAGCGTAGTCTTTAAAGCGGTATAGACCTCTCCATGATTTCATGGACCTAGAATTAGTTACTCGCCGTTTCTGATTCTCATTGCTTATCTACATTCTGTATTTCCTATCAGGCTGGCTCTGTTGATCCGGTAACCATGACGATTACCATTTTCTTGAGGCATTTTGATATCGGTATTGATGTCACGCTATTATCACAGGTAGGTATTCTGTGTCTAATATAATCTTAGAAGGAATTCTGCATTTCATAAGAATAACAATTTTCTGTGGATTGGACCTAAATGAATCGTGTGGCATGTCATCTGACCCTTGCTGAAAACTCTTACCTATTGTACTATATCTTGATACTCCCTCTGAGTCACAATGTCAAATATAGGTTCTGTGTCGCTATATGTTCTCCCTGCCTATTTCTTCGTTTCTTACTTACATATGTCCTGCTTTTGCATTTTGTTTGCAGTACATATCTTTGTTGTTCATCGGGATGTTGGTTGGCATATCTATTCGAGGTTTCTTGGCAAATGTTATGAAGGTGAACATTCTGTTTGGTTGCTACTTTTTATTTTGTACATATGGGTTTCAGACTTGTTGTCTCTGATCCAATAATGTCATGACTGGTTGAAAAATGCTAGTAAACTGAATTAAATATATTTCAACAGCTTGTAACGTACTAACCTTCTTTGCCCATCAGCATTTTTCCATTTTATAAGTAGACTTCCAGCTGCTGTTATAGTTTTCCTTGTTGTTGAGCATTCAAACGTGACCTTCATCTCATTTTCTATGCAGTTCTTCTTTGCTTTTTCTAGAGTTGGGACCGGCTCAACAACCAATGTCGTCCTTTTCTTATCTGAGATCATGGGCATGTATTTCATATCTTCTATTCTTCTGATAAGGAAAAGCCTGGCAAATGAGTACAGGTATTCTTCTATTGCTTGAGAGTACCCTTCCTGTATACTGTCCTGGAGGATCCAGGCCCCAGGCAGCCCGGGCCATGGCCTGGGGTGTGAGGCCCAACTCCTTCGTGGACTGCAGCAATCACTGTAGGTACAGTGCTATAATGCACGGAGGGGGCCCAATCGCCTGGGGCTCGGCTTATTCCTGGCACTGCAACTGTCCTGGCCTTATTTGTTTTATTATTGTTTAACTTAACTTGCTACTTTGAATTTAAGTATGTAACTCGTTTTATTCTCTATTTGTATTAATAACTTAAGTTACTGAACCATAGCCAATGTTATGGGCTCAACTGACCCTTCCACTCTTTTTGAACAAATGTTATCAACTTACATATCATTTAAAAAACAAAACATGGTATAGTATATACGAAGATGCTGAAGATATGTTCAACTGAATATATTAATGGGATGACTATGGATTAAGTTACAACACTTTTAGTTGAAGACAAGTTACCTTTTTCATTCAGTCTTTCCACTCCCACCGTTACTACGTGTAACATGACGAGTGTATAGTGAGTAAAGTGTATCAATACAATAAACACATGTAACTTGGCCATTTCAATATGGAGGTCACAGTTGACCACACAGCTGATCTGACTATTTAATGAATAGTACAGATTCAGCATGGAATATGATCCTTTGAGGTTAGCTTTATGCTATGCAAGATTTAAAATTTGTTAAACTGTCTAGGGCACATCTAGATGTGCCCTAGTTATTGCACATGTACGGACTCAATCAAACATAAAAAGGGAAAGAAAATACCTGCATGAATTTCCGTGTAAAATCAATGACACATGACTTTAGACATGCAATACTTAGGGCGCATCTGGATGTGCTTTAGCAAAACCGTTAAAATTTACATTGTGATCCCATTCCATTCAAGAAAATTGATGTTTGTTAATGCGTGTTTGCTCAGGGTGATCATCACAGATGTTTTGGGCGGTGACATTCAGTTTGACTTCTACCACCGTTGGTTTGATGCTATATTTGTGGCGAGCGCGTTCTTGTCCTTGCTTTTGATTTCAGCTCAGTACACCTCCCGGCAAGCAGACAAGCATCCAATTGATTGATGCGTCTTGTCCCACATGTGTATAGTGTTCTTTTTAACTACTATCTGTCCAAGGTATGTGGTTACACTTCTTTCTGTATCAATTGAATGTGCCGGCTTTTGTTGATGTTTTTCTGCCTTTTTGGTCAGGTTGACACATTCTTTAAAGTCAGTTCACAAAGGGGGTTGTTTCTTAGTAGACCTCCACACACAGTTACGGAATATATAGGACATCAGTTAATTCGAAGGCGGCTGTTTGCTTTGAAGTTTGTTCGCAAGTTGGTGTTGAATCATGATTAACAGCTCCTCCATATCCAAGCCATCAGTGCTCCCTGCAGCAGTCAGAAAGGTGTTTCTGGGTGATGTTGCGATAGGGCAGGTTGCAATGCTTTTGTCAAGACAGGCGAGGAAGCCGCCCTCTTAGGAATGGTGAAGGATGGTGTGATGTAGCTTTGGAATAGCGTGTTAGCATCGTCTGCAGTTGATGTACCGTCCACGATTCTTTGAGCTATTGTGCGATATTTGCCACATCTTGAGAAAAGAAAAAATATTACTGCTCCATCTGCGTTTCCATGTTTTGATTAATATCTTGGGAGGTATAAAGCCATTGGCCATCTGCGTGCTGTATGTACTTGTAAGATTTGTTAAAGAAGAAAAATATTCTTTGATGCCTTGTGCATCTCAGCCCCACGAATGCCTGTATGGTCGGATTTAAAGGTTGAAATGCTGAAGAAATAGTCCTCTCTTTCTTCGTGGTGCCGTATTGAAAACATCTGGACGCAACAGTAAATCTTGTACCATCGCTGCACCCAGTTCGGACTTGCAGTCCTTCAAACTGAGTAGAGGCGACCGTGTACCGTATGCACGTACTAGTGATTTAGGCATCCAGAACTGGGAAAGAGCATGAGAGCACCGCTCGCCCCGAGCCAGAGAGCGAGCAGCCGAGCACTATAGCGTAGCAGGGCACAAGATGGCTGGACCCTGTCACGCACTAGTGCGCCCGTGGATGGATGCATACACATCTCCACGCTGCATTGCTGCCCGTGCCGCGGAAGTGGCGACCGATGGATGTGTCCGGCGCGTTTTGTCACACCCACAAGGGCGCACAAGGCCAAGCACGCACGCACTGCGGCGGAGAAAAGACAAATCTGTCACGCGCTGCACTGATCACCGTGTGTTAATTTGTGTAGATCACCAGCTCGTGGCGTCTGTCTGTCTGACCGCCCCGTCTGCATGCAGCAGCGGGCTTCACTTTCGTTTCCCGTTTCATGCATGCATGAACTCACGATCGATCGACCCTGTAGCCCCTGCCTGCACAAGTGCCTTTCATCGCAGCGATAGCAGAGGCACGCGTAGTAAGTATCGCATGCATACGTGCCCAGCCATGGTATCTTTGCTTTGGCAGGCAGGCAGGCAGGCAGGCAGCGGCACTGGAGCTAGCAGCGGCTGCGCCAAAGCCCAAAGCGAGCGAGCGAGCGAGCCAGTGGGCGACACAGGTGCTGAGGCGTCTGCGCTCGCATGCAACGACGACTTTGGTCGTGGCCTTGTAGGGTAGGGGCCGTGCGTTCCAGCTGGCGCGAGTGGCGGTCAATGCATGCATTTGCATGCCGCCGCGTCGTACGTGGTCGCGCTGTAAATGGCGAGACCGGCCTGACGCGCGTCCGGCCGGCCGGGTACGCCCGTGGCCAGGGCATGCCATGCCATGCCATGCACGCAGCGTGCGAAAACCCATCCAGGAAGAAACCGAGCCTGAGTCGAGCGAGCCAGCCGTCGATCAGGTGCCTCGTTTCAGAGGCTGGCCTGTTCACTAACAGCGCCCTAAAGGCTGCATGCGCCTGTAGACACGCACGTACACACGTACGTGCGCGCCGTGCATGTGCATGCGCGGCCAACAGGACGGCGCCGGCGCCCGCGCGCGCACTGAGCCGTCGCGATCGACCGCTCGATCTCCGGTGGCGCAGCTAGCTTGCGTGCATCAGTGTGTTGCCACCAGCCGAGCCGAGCATTGCATTGCATGTACGTCGCTCCGTCGATGCAGTGTACGCACGCACGCACGCACACGAGCGAGGCATGCATGCATGCATGCATGGAAGCCCGTACCTGGCCGGATCGAGCGTGAGGAGACGTCGGCGTCGCTCGCTGTCTCCCGTGCGCGCGCGCGTGTCACCCGGCGTGCTCGGGGACTACGGCCGGGAGCGCCGCGTGCACGCTTGGGAACTCGACCGGCGCCCGACTGGACAAGGCGCGGCGCTGCTTTTGTTTGCGCTTGCACGCCCTTTCAATTCGTGGACGTCCGTCTCGAATCAGTCACTGGTTAGGCGGCGAGCCTGATGGCTGATCGAGCTGGCCATGGAGAGAAAGAGACGGGCATGGACATGGACTCGACTGCGCTCGACTGGACTCGACCGGACTCGAGTGGCCTTTTCCCAAAGGCTGCTCACATACTAGTCACATGGCCCATCCCTTCCTCACCGGGCTCGGTGCATCGTGCCGTGCTAGCTGCCGCGCGCCTTTCCTCAAAGATTTGCTCGCTTTGGCGTCGGAGAAAACCTCGATTTGTCCGCTCCACAACACGCCTCGCCTCTCTCTGGCCTCACACTACCCCCGTCTGGTCGTTTTCCCCGTCCTCTCCCTTTGGCCGCGCTCGGAAAACCATCGAGAGAAGAGAAGGGCGGCTCCAACGAGCCGATCCAAACGGATGTAAAATGTGTTCATTTTCGTTGTTTGGATGATCAGGCGGGTAGGCGTCCGTCCCTTGTTCGTTCTTTTCTGGCCATGCATGGCACCCAACGAGACGATCCATTTGGTTCATCATGTCAGCCTTTTTTTAATCAACTTGTTATTCTGGCCATTCTATACATTTACAACCAAATAAATAAAACATTGCACATGATTAAATAAATAAGTCAAGTTTACATGAGCGTCGTGGCCATTGTTTGCCGCTGTTTGTAGCTACTCTGTATTATTTCTTTTCTCCCCTACCTTAATACACCGACGCGCAAGCCTTTTGCGTGTTCGCAAAAAAAGTAATAGAATCAATAGTTTACAATCAAAAATAAAAATCACATACTTTAAATAAATTGGAAGAAAACGAGAAGATACAACTATTGGTTTCTCATGTGAGTGCACGTGTACTCAACCAAATCATTTTGAAGTCACCACATGACATATGTGAGGAGCAACCTTAAAAGAAACAATGTCTAAATCATTTTGAAGTCGAATGTGAGTTGTCCGATGACATATTTCATGATGAAGTTGGATGAACTGTGCAAACGTTGCCGCTCCATTCTCGGGCTCAACCAAATCACCCTAGCAATCCCACCCTTGGTAATAGATGTTGTCATCACGCTCATCCTCTACAATCATATTATGCATGAACACAAACGGTCATAACCTCCCATGTAGTTTAAACCCTAGCAATCCCACCCTTGGTAATAGATGTTGTCATCACGCTCATCCTCTACAATCATATTATGCATGAACACAAACGGTCATAACCTCCCATGTAGTTTAAACGTTTCATGTTTTCACAGGGTACTAAACAATAGCTCAGAAAGATTGGAGCTACACCATCGGTGACATGAGGTGGAAACGACGTCGCAGTGGGGACTCGGTGCCGACGTCGGCGTGTGTGTGTATGTGTGTGTGGTGGGGGGGAGGACTAGTGGTGGTGAAGCGGATAGAGTCTGGGTGGTGGCGGCGAGGGTGAAGAGGCCGGGGAGCTCGAGCTCGATGGGGAGTGGGAAGAAGAGGGGGGGGGTATTGACCTATTGACACCGATAGGCGGGCCACGTGAGGACAAGGAGAGGGCGTTCACGGTGTGTCCGCATTGGAGGGAAACCTAATCCAAATTTGAGCTGAAAATGGAGAGAACAACAACCTATCCGTTTGGGTCGCTGGGTCGGCCGTTGGATTCACCCTAGGTGCATGCACATCGCCGTGGATCGATCAGCTGGCGATTGGCGATAGACAGGTAGGAGTATATGCCATATGAGTAGCAGCTTGCAGCTGCATTGAACGTGTCCTACAGTAGTGTCTTGCTCGAGAGCCAAGGAGAGATAGACCGGATGGGCACAGAGCTCGGCACAGTGGGCTGCTACATGGCCTAGCACCTAGGGCGCGCTCCCGGCCCGGTAGCCCCTGCTGGCTGTGGCTGCTGCTCCATCAAAAGTTGCGACGGCACGCATGCAGCGCCGTGCAGGTGGATCAATGCAACGTACCACTCGTAGTAGTAGTAGCCTTCCGCTTTGCATCAGCTCCCGTCCCTCAAAAATAAAAAAAATCTCCCGTCGTCCGTCCTGGCTTATTCGTAGCGATCGTAAACCCGCTGTCGAGGCCGGCCCGACACGATCCGAAAACTCGATCGGGGGGAGGAAAAGGAGAGCCCGGCTGCCCGAGGCCGGGCTTAATAAGGCTGCGCGGGCCGTACGTGCGACGCGCC